AGATAATTAAATGTCCCACTAATTATCTAATCATTGTATTGCAATCAACATATAGCATTGAGCATATTGGGTTGCACTTACCATGTCCCCCAGTCCGATCCATGTTGCCTATAATCTTGCCAAATTGAAGTCAGAAATTCTGGGGTTCATGTAATCTAATAGAATAGTGCTGGCTCTCAAATATCTGGGAATGATCTGAAGCTGCAAATTTTCATGTAGATAAAGCAGTTCCCCTGCAATTCCATTAATTTATCTTGTACCATCTCTCCCATTCTAGATTATGTTGGTTTCGATCTACACCATCCAAGTTTTAATTGATTATTATTAACATAACAGAGATGAATTTTTTCAAATACTTAAAAAGGAAGGACATGTCCCTAAAAAACACATGAATAATAATTTTGAAGAATGGGTCTGTCTAAGCTTATATTGAATCTCTCTATTAGCACAATGTTAAGCAAAGGTGTAAGCAAATTTAAAGGAAAGAATGAAATGTACCAAAAGAAGGTTTCATGCAGGCTGCCATTAGATAGATATATATAAACTAGTCGTTTCTCTTCTTCTTCTATGCAGAAGACTAACCGCTTTACCATGTTCCTATGCAGTAATTTAGCAACCAACTTGACTTCAGTTTTTAGCTTTTTTAAGCCCTGTGTTGATATCATGGACAACCTTTTTACCACAATTTCAAGCCCATCAAGCAATTCTTTCAGACATAATTTTATACAGTAACATAATTAGCTCATAAAAGTAGAGAGAATTTGTGAAATACAAAGCATATGTTAAAGAAAGAGTTACCTAATAAACTAGAGAAAAACCACTTTCCCCAAGTTTATTTGAGTCTGAGAAATTGTTTGTAGCATCTTCGAGTGCAATTAGTCCAATCAAAAACGACACCAGGGTTCTGTCAGTTAAGAAAACAGATTATCTTGGTTGATATGGAAATTCAGACAATTCTCAACTGCTTGATTTCATTCAACAAACTATTGTTGCGAGAGTGATACATTTATAGAGCTCAACAGCTCTTTTCAAGGATTAAAAGAAAAATACAAATGACACAAGAAAACAACAAACATTTGCTGTAGAAGAAACCAGAAAATATATGCAGCTTTAACGATTTTCAGTGAGGGATAATTTTGTTCTATCAGAAAGACAATTGCATTCTAGTTGTCGGCCTTGCGTGTTTGTCTGGGAGCTGTAAGATGAGTTGGCAAGCTGACTGGGACCGTTCGCTGACCTGGACAAGTTGACACACTTGTCTTCTTGAGTCGACTGTTGACAGTCGTTCTTCGAGTGATCAGTGTTCTTTACATTCCCCCTCAAACTTATCAAGGGAAGCGGTCGATGAACCAGTCCAAGTTTTTTTCCTGAAATACTTAACTTGTGTTTGTGATAAGGGCTTGGTGAAGCAATCGGCGGTCTGATCACATGAGGGCACGTATCTGATATCAAGAGCTCCTTTTGTCACTTTGTTGCGAATGAAGTGAACATCAATTTAATATGTTTGGTTCATGAATGAAACATAGGATTGCTTGCAAGGGCCGTGGCACTCATATTATCGCACCAAGCTATTGGAGTTTGCATAGTGGTGATGTTTATCTCTTTGAGTAAGGACTCTAACCAGGTTATTTCACAAGACATGTGAGCTAGGGCCCTGTACTCAGATTCGGCACTTGACCTTAATACAACATTCTGTTTCTTTGAACTCTAGGAGATCAAATTCTCTCTAAGATAGACGCAGTAACTCGAGGTCGAGCAGTGATCATCCTTTGAGTAGGCCTAGTCGGCATCCGAATACCCAACAATGTTCAGTCTGTCGCTAGGTTTAATGTGGAGGCCGAATCAGTCGTTCCTTTCAGATATCAGAGACCTCTTTTCAAGGCTTTCATGTGAAGATCAGTTAGTTTTTGCATTAATTGACTAAGTTTGTTAACAATGGATGATATATCTGGCCTTGTATGAGTTAGATATTGAAGAGATCCTATCATTTTTCGATAGGGAGTCGGATCTTCCAGTTTTCTTCCTTCTTCAGTGGACAAGTTGTTGTCGATTACTGCCGGTGTCGGATATGGTTTAGCAGAGTGCATGTTGCCTCTTTTAAGGAGTTTTTCAGTGTATTTTATTTGAGCATGGAAGAGATCAGTATCATCCCGCGTTGCTTCGATGTCGAGGAAGAGATGAATGTCTCCAAGGTTTTTTAGTGCAAATAAGTTATGAAGTTGGTTGATGACACTTAGCATCATATCTAGTTTATTTCCTGTAACAATTATATCATCAACATAGATTAGTATGAAGATTCTGGTTGTCTCTGTAAGGAAGAAAAAAAGTGATGTGTCTATTTGTGAGTTCTTGAAGCCCATTTGAGCAGTGAGGATTTGAGCTTGTCAAACCATGCTCTTAGAGCTTACTTGAGTCCATAGAGGGCTTTGTTGAGTTGACAAATATAGGCAGGGTGTTTGAGATCTTCGAAGCGTTTAGGTTACTTCATGAAAACCGTCTCTCTTAATTCTCTATTTAAGAAGACACTGTTCACATCCAGTTGTTTGATATTCCACCCGTTTATTACTGCTAGAATCAAAATCACTTGAAGCATTCATGCCTTAACTACTAGGCTGAAGGTTTGATGAAAGTTTATCCCAGGTGTTTGATGAAATCCTTTTACCACTAGTCTAGCTTTACACCGTTGGAAGCTCCTATCGGCGTTGGTCTTGATTTTGTAAACCCATTTGTTGCTAACCAGATTCATTTCAGGATGAGGAGGAACCAGCTTCCATGTCTGATTGTTCCTGAGGGCAGACATTTCTTCTTCCATGGCCAATTTTCAGTGGGGAATTCTGGTTACTTCATTGATCAAAGTAGGTGTTGTAAGATTTCTTACAATGACTGCTTTGAATAGTTGGAAGTCTTGTGGCAGGTTCCTTGGTCTAAATATCCCAACTTGAGCTCTAGTCATCATTTGGTATCTTGGAGCTTTTGTCAGGGTATTTTCAGCTTGTACTCTCTCTTCTTCTTGGTCTGATGGTGTTATGCTCTGACTGGGAGAAGACACCGGTTCTTCTTGCAACAAATTGTCACTAGTCGAAGGATCTCTTGTTGAGTGTTGCGGTGAGGATTCTGTCATAGGGGAGGAAGCTGGTGCTAGAGTTTCTTTGACGACTTATCTACTAAGACTCCCTGGGAAAAGAGAGGCTGATGTAGGGTTGGAAGCTATATTCAGCCAAGAGGGTTAGTATGATTCTAGAGACAGTCTTGAGTTGATGTGTTTTCATGAAACCATGGTGATATGGGAATTCAAGTTTATTGAAGACAACATTTCTAGATACATACATCTTGCTGGTGGAGCTGAGACATTTGTATCCTTTGTGTAGAGAATTGTAACAAAAAAAAACACATTTTATTAAGCGAAAAATGAGCTTGTGATTCTGATATGGTTATAGGCATAGAAAACAAGCACACCGAAAGGTCTTTAGCTGTTTGTAGTTAGGTTTTTATTGGTAAAGCTTTTCAAGTGGCGATGACTGATTCAAGATTGGTGTAGGCATTCTATTAATCAAGAATACGGCAGTTTCAAAAGCATCGAGCCAATATTTTAGTAGCACTCTCGACTCAGCAAGGAAGGTGAGACCGATTTCGGTTATATGCCAATCTTTTCTTTCAGCTCGTCCATTTTGAGTCGATGAGTAGGGACATGAGTATCTGATCTTAATTCCATTGTTTTGAAGAGTTTGGGCTAGGCCAGTGAACTCTCCTCCCATGTTTGACTGAAGACACTTTATTTTCTTTCCAAATTGGGTTTCTATTTCGTGTTTGAACATGGTAAATGCCTGATAAACTTCTGATTTTTGTTTCAATGGATAGAGCCAAGTGAATCGACTGTAATCGTCAATGAAAATTACGTAATACCTATGGCCTGAGGGTGAAGGGAGAGCAGATGGTCCCCATATATCAGTATGGATAATTCCAAAAGATGTTTTTGCATGTGATAAAGACAGAAAGCGAGGGAGAAGGTGGGATTTGCCCAGTTGACATGCATCACAAAAGATGTTTTTATTGAACTTAATCGGTTCATTACATGTTTTTAAGATGACAGATAAAATTTTTGAAGATAGATGTCCGAGTCTTCTATGCCACATCAGTGTTCTTGATTCAGGAGTTTGGTTATTTTTGCTAGTGATCAAAGCTTGACAGGGAGGATGATAAAGAGAAATTGGTCTTGAGGAGCCCAAGCAGTATAAGTCGTCTTTAAGCTTCCCTAGCAGTAGTACCTTGCCTGTGGCTTTGTCCTTCACAAGACAAAAAGATAAATTAAAGATAATTTCAACATTGTTAGATGAGGTACGTTGAGAAACATTTAGTAAATTCTTATTGATTTTTGGTATATGTAGTACTTTGTTTAGGGTTATTTTTCTGTTTCTGGGAGTGTAAATGTTTGTCTTATCGATGTGTCGGATAAGCATTTTTTCACCATTTCTAATCATGAGACTTTCACTTCTTTCATATTGTTGCTTTGACTGTAGTATGTTTACATCTCTTGTTATATAGTTGTTATCACCACTGTCTACATACCAGAATGGGTCTTCAAGGTTGTCTTCGGGAGTGGCTGAAAAGGTTGAGCTTTAGTAGGCCTTTGGAGAGTTCTCTAGAATGGTTCCAATGTAGCTGTTGTCGTAGCGATAATAGTAGTGAGCGGCGGTGTGTCCAATTTTGCCACACACTTGGCAGATTGGTCTGGAGTTACCGCTGTGTCTTGCTCCTCTTCTAGTGCTGTGACGACCTCCTCTATTAAAGAGGTTGTTGCGTCCTCCTCCTCTGTTAATCGATTGAGAATGTGGGTTCTAATGGGTTCTGTTGTTCCTAAAACTAGAAAAATATGTTGAAGGACGTCCGAGGTTTAGGGCAGTCGTTGTTGTGTTGAGTTGTTCCAACCATCTTTCATAGTTGAGCAGTTGAGATTGAAGTTCGACCCAACTTATGCTTTCCTTTTCTGTGATTTAGTTTACGAGTGGGTTATATTCAGAGGAGTCTAAGCCAGCAAGAACTTGAAAAGTGAGATCTTTCAGGCTAACAGAGTGTCCTGCTAGAGCAAGGTTGTCAGCGATTCCTTTAATGGATTTGAAGTATCCTTCCATCTTCAAGTTTTCCTTTTGTATTTTAACGAATTTTTTTTTGTAATAAATTATATTTGCTCATGTTTTTACTGCAAAGAGATCCCAGATTCCTTCCTATAGGAGTTTTGATGTTGAGTGCCCCATTAGTTCGAAGGCTATGTTTGTTTCAATCAAGCTGTAAAGCCAACCCAATAGCATCTGATATTGTGCAAACCAATCTTCGAATTCTGGATTCACTATGGTTTCGACTTCAGTGCTTCCTCCTACAATTCTTTCTGTATATTCTGGTGGGCTCGGTTTAGCATCAGTGAGGAACCCTTCGAGTTTGTTTCCTCTTATAATTGGAAGCACCAAATTTTTTCAAAAGAGATAGTTATCGTGATTGAGTTTCAAAGTACACACAAAGTTCATTGAGCTGCTAGATAAAGTTTGAGTTTTTTGAGGTGTTGGGTTAAAGGTTGAGGAGTTGTTGTTTTCTCCTGCCATTTGCTAGCTCTGATACCAAGTTAAGAAAATAAATTATCTTGGTTGATATGGAAAGTTGGACAATTCTCAGCTGCTTGATTTTCATTCAACAAACTATTATTGCGAGAGTGATACATTTATAGAGCTCAACAACTATTTTCAAAGATTAAAGAAAAAACACAAATGACACAAGAAAACAACAAACATTTGTTGCGAAAGAAACCAAAAAATATATGCAGTTTTAATAGTTTTCAGTGTGAGACAATTTTGTTTTATCAGGAAGACGATTGCATTCCAGTTGTCGGCCATGTGTGTTTGTCTTGGAGCTGTAAGATGAGTTGGCAAGCTAACTGGGACCTTTTGCTGACCTGGACAAGTTGGCACACTTGTCTTCTTGAGTTGACTGTTGACAGTCATTCTTCAAGTTATCAGTGTTCTTTACACCGTCACCCTCTTCATGAGCATCACCCGAAAGAAGAGTAATTATATGTACGGACTAAAAGAAGAGCTCAATCATGGGCTTATTATTGCATGTGTAACGCCCACAATAAGCACCTGAAAACTCGAAAGGAACAAGGTTAAATATGTCTACAATATCCTAGCAAGGAGCAAGAACACAAGAAAAATCAAAGAATAAATGAAGTGCAACACATTTTACAAAGCGTAACAAGTAAAACATATCGTAAATCTTCTGTTTAATACCACTTACCTGCAAGCCAATCACGCTTTCATATAATTACAGTTTGTACGAAGAGGGGAGCAAAGGCGGAGGAAGGAGGGGAAAGAAGAAGACATTGTTGTGAATATTTCAGATCAACTCTTATATGTACATTAAAATTAAATTATTTCCTTTTACAGCATATTAGACTTAATTAGTATTAATTAATTAGTGCTTAATTAGAAATATCATTTAATTAATAAATATATAAATAATTAAAAAAATTAGTATTAATAAATTGATATTTGACTAGTAGAATGCACCAATATCCTTTTTCATAGGACCTGCTTGTCACTGATCCATAATTACTCAGAAGATTACGAAAAGGAGTGAATGTATATATACATATAATATATATATATATATATATATATATTTTTAGGTGGTAACACACAAATACTTCAGTAAATAGTAATTAAATAGCTGTAACATTGTTCTTAAGAAATTAGTTAAAAGAAAACGTAATAAAATATTTCTGTATGGATAAGTAAATATTATATGCACATTTGATCTTTATTTTATTTTTTGGTAAAATGGTATCCATTTTTTAAATCTTACCTTAACGCGAAATAAATATATATTATGCTTCATTTAAAAATGATATATATATATATATATATTATATGCGAATGTATAGGGTACATATTATATGCATGTATACCTACTTCCCTGGCCGGATTCTTGAGTCCTAGAAAGGTAAAAATTGTGGTTAAATCGATAACCATTTTGAATAGTGTGTATGAATTTTTGGCTGGGTAAACATGTCCAGATGACAACCCCGGCATCAGCATTCTCTTTTCTTGCTTGCAATAGCTATAGCAATACCAATAATACTGTGAATTACAGTCATACCATAGATGATTACTGTGTAATTTGAAGATTAAATTATAAAGGAAGTAATACGATGATTCCTATCGACCATGTAATTCGGAGATTGTGACCTCGTTTATGGATTGTTGAAGTGGATTCGTATTACACTTTCCTTCTTGTGTGGTGCTAGAATTTTCTGCTCTTGAATCCGAATCAAAACCTGATGCAGACACGAAAAATGCAGGGTGTGAAGGAGCTGGAGAGGAAATGGTCTGACTACTTAGCATGGTAATTATATGTGACATTGTAGGTCTATCAACTGGAGCTTCTTGAACACACAGTAAACCAATTTGAATGCACTTGATAACTTCATCTCTTGAATATTCGCTGTCTATTGCTGGATCTAGTAGGTCCAAAGCTGTGCCATTTGCCCAGTTCTGCCATGCCTGTAACAAATTGGGATTTATATGCAAACCATTTTGTAATCAAGTCATGTTAACGACAAAAATCTTACCCGACTTTGAAGGTTTATTGACTCACAGGAACTGGAGTTTTTTCGCCCAGAAATGATTTCTAAAACTAAGATTCCGAAACTGTACACATCAGATTTTGTCGAGAACTGCCCTTTCTTAATATATTCTGGTGCCATATATCCACTTCAAGCCATAAAATAAGACATATATTAGCTGTTTCTTAACAAAAATCACAGAGCAAGACTGGACATATCTGATGTACTTACTATGTCCCAGCAATCCGCAGTGTGTTGGCTTGAGTCTGGTTTTCGTCGAATAATCTAGCCAAGCCAAAATCGGAAATTTTTGGGTTCATGTGTTCGTCTAAAAGAATGTTGCTGGCTTTCAAATCCCGGTGAATAACCCTGAGCTGAGAATCTTCATGGAGATAAAGCAGGCCTCTTGCAATTCCAAAAATGATTTTGTATCGTCTCTCCCATTCTAGACTAAGCTCCCTACTTTCATCTATATCATCCAATTCTCAATTAATTGTTAAGTAAAACATCAATAGAAGACTCGAATGAAAGATTAAAAGAAAAAGTTTTGTACCAAATAGAATTTTGTCCAGGCTGCCATTAGGCAAGTATTCATAAACTAGGAGCTTCTCTTCTTCTTCTATGCAGAAGCCCAACAGCTTTACAAGGTTACGATGCAGCATTTTAGCAACCAACATAACTTCAGTTTTCAGCTCTTCTACGCCTTGCCCTGATCTACTTGACAGTCTTTTAACAGCAATTTGCTTCCCATTACGCAATTTTCCCTGCACAAGATTATTCAGCACTAATCTCATTTGATAAAAACATATTAAACCTTTAACGTTTGTGTCAAGTTTTGTTTTAATTTTTTAAAATAAGAACAACAAAATAAAAATATAAATATATTATTATAGAATTGAACATACAAACGAAATTAATTCAATTATACAAATATGTAGATTATGATTAACTTTTATGTAAATTAATAATTAGGAATTGAATGAGAATAGAATAAAATTAAACCAAATAGAAGGTTAGTAAAAATATTGAAGAAAAAGCACCTTATAAACTGGACCAAAACCACCTTCCCCAAGTTTATTTGAATCAGAGAAATTTTCAGTTGCAGCTTTAAGCGTAGTTAGTCCAATCAACAGCGACTCCATGCTTTTCTCACCCTCTTCATTAACAATGACATCACCTAAATGATCGAAGCATGATTATGGAAATTAATATGCTTGGAGAGTATAATCTGTGAAGATGGTATGTCATTTTCTTTCTAGTTTCTTGATATTGCGGAGATTTTGATAGGCAGAGCAAATAGAAAGGATATATATGAACTTTTTGGTTCTAATTAATTAGAAAAAAAGAAACTAACTACCAGCTGCTCTTTTCGTCTTCATTTTTCTTCGGAACAAGATACAGCAGATTATTGCCATGACCACTAACAGAAGCCCAGTAGCTACAGATATGGCCACAATAATTATGTTTTCGGATCCTTTCTTCTTACCTGAATTAACATGACACAATTACAAAATCACTATTTGCATATGCACAAAATCTGATCTCATGTAAAAGGCTGAAAAAAGGTATTGAATAATCATCTAGTAAAATAGTCATCAATTCCGTATATCACAGTATGGTTCATGTATTGGAGAAAAAATAATAAGAAGAAGAATTAAGAAAGGCAGTGAGAATTACTTGTGGGAGTGGGTGTTGAATTAGGTGATTGAGGCCTAAGAACTGGAGTAGATGGAGGAGGAGATGACAATTGAAAGAAGGAGTATATCTCAAAACGAAGAAAGCAACTTGGACAGAACACCTGACCACCTTCTGGTCCATTGCAACATGGAATAACAGCAGTAATGTCTTGAAGGCAAGTCTGGCAACTATCTTCTTCTAAATCTCTTGTACACTGTACTACAGCACTTATGTTGGTAAACTGTGTGTAAGGAATGATACCTGAATCAAATTTGGAAGGACTCAAAACAGCTTTGGACGACAGATTCCTTAGTAACGAGGCCAGTTGACGATGGAAAACAACTGGGTTCGATACATTCTGGGAGTTAAACAAGATAAAAGTTGGTTGATTGCTGGCAGTAGAGAAGAATCTCCAGAATGAGTAGTGTAACCAACAAGGACCACAACCAAGAAAAGCTTCCATCTTGAAAGGACATAGTCGGCGAATTTCTACAGCTGCGGCAGCTGCACAGGCTTCACAGACTTCCTTAGAGATGTCTCCTCTGCACTGGATGAGTCCATAAACTGTGTCAAGGTTCTCGCCCTCTGAGGTCTCAAAGTAGCCAGTCTGCGAAGCATTTGCTGCAAGTGAAGCAAGAGTCAGGTTCAGATTTCGCTCATAAGCACTGCCAGAAGTGTAATTAGCAGTGCTATCGCAGCTGGGAGACTTGTATTCCAGCTGAGCTTCAGCAGTAAAAACAGTAAACACAAGTAAGAGTAATTTGAAGATGTCTAATCCAGGGGACTTCATCATTTCTACAGGTAATTAAGAACTAATTTTACATTAAAGCTCACTGATCAACCCTCTGCCTCCTTAATCATCTTCTTCAGTCTCACCAAACTGATCACCAAAACAGAAGAGCAGCCAAGATCAACAAAACTATTCATGGGGATCAAATTAGTAACAGAATTTCTAAGATGATGCCCCAATATTTACGAGATTTATTTACATTATCTCTAATTCATTTCCGAGGATAGATTGACTTGAAGAATCATGTAAATCCAAACATAAAACCCAAATGACCATCCCTGTTTCTAAGAGAAGATTCGAGCAAATATTATAAGTAAATAGTTTGAAGCAATATTTAGTTTTTATTCTGGTGAAGCAAAAAAGAAGCAATGTTAAATTAATATTCAATAGTCAGAGAAAACTTGATAACAGACCTTTCTTGCTAATATTATATATATTAATTTTACGCGTTTGTGTGTCTCTTTATGAATGTATATTGACTGTTGAGCCGGCGATCCATTCAAAGAGATTTTCTTGAAATTCCAGGGACTTACTAATTCTAACTAAAATATATCATACTACGCATTACATGTAAATATATATATATATATATATACACATATATGTTACTTTCAGATTCAAAAAGATTGATCCTTATGGTCAACATGCCAAAATCATTTGCATACAAAATTGTTAATGAAGTTTTGTGCTTCAAATATATATTCATGCATATATATATATATATATATAGCAAAACGCAAAACAAAGGATGACCAATCCATGCAAACGTTTTTTCCCTAGCCTGTAAATGATAATCTTTTACACACTTTGACATGGATAAAATATTACTGAAGAAATCCAGATGTTATAAATTACGGGCAAAATTTATAACTGATATTTTTTATAAGGTATAAAAGGTTAGATCACATTTTTTTTCCTATGTTACAACTATTCTAAAATAAAGAAAATTTAATTGTCATAAAATATTTTTTTTTATTTAAAAATACATAACTCAATAAAATAAAGTCCAATACAATCACTGTAATTTACTAATATATATTAATGAACTAATTTTTTTTTTAAATTGTTATTTATAAATTAATAATTAAAATAAATCTTCTACAATTTAAATTACTTCATTAATAGTGTAGAACAGGAGGGTATATTAGAAAATACTCTAATTAACTATCTTAATATTTTTTTTTTTTATAAAAAAAAAAGAACTATTGAGTGTTTCTCAAGCTTTTTCACATGCTACAGTGTTGCAATATAAGAATATGTATAAGCTTAGACTTTGAAATTGAATAAATTAGGATGGTGATGGTCTTGGAACTTCTTGAAGCAAGTGAGATGTGAAAAGCTCTTTAAATTCATCTTTTACATCTCCCTTCCCATAAATCTCTTCAAGAGCCTGAAAAGGAAATTGTATATTTTACTTCAATAAGATTTGTAAATAAATTTCGTAAAAAGATTTTAAATTTACTCAAAACATAACTTAAATTTAGCATTTGAGCTCAGTTTTTATTTTTTATTTTTTATTTTTTTAACAATTTGAAAACAAATTAAATCAAGAAAATTCATATTAATATACAATACTTATAAATTTATAAATGTGAAATATAAGAAATATACATTGAAAAAATTAAGCTATGTTGAATAAATGAAAATATTTTCTAATTTTAATTTAATCTAAATTCACCTTCCAATTGCAAATAAAAAAAAAAAAAAAAAAAAAAAAAACTTGAGAAGCAACCTGGTGCTATGATTTGTACATACCTCGCTAGTGCTGCGCTTTGGACGACGAAGTCAGATATCTGTTTAATTGAATTGTTAAGCCAAACCAAACACTAATTACTAAACGTGCATGTGGATTAATTCATCTTCTTTGCATTCTCTGATGGAAATCTCCATTACTTTCCCAGTAGAAGAAGGTAACACATCGCAGCAATGCCTTCTTGGAGCCTGCAACTGAATACACACACCCACAAAGAAGAAAGAACAGTAGCAATTTGGTTAATTGCAGCATGAGATTTCGGGGAATATATATATATATACATATAATAAGAAATAGCGTATATACCTGTTTGATACCAAGGCGTAGTTTGTCTGAGAATACTCTGATCTCTTCAAGTTTCCTGGGGGAAGCCATGTCGTACGAGCAATTTTCATAATGTTTCTTATAAATGCTTCGGACTCCATTCCTGCCCGACGACGACAAGGTGTCCAGGAAAAAAATTGTGGGTCGCCGGCAAGGATCGGCGTGAGGTTGTTTTATGTCGAAAGAGTATGCCAAACCATCGTTGCCTTTCCACGGCCGGAAAGTCTGCTGCGCCGGCAGAGCGTCTGGGAGAAACAAATGATAGCCAAAAACCTGCACTGCGTAGCCCCACGACACTGATATCGTCCATGAAAACCAACGATCATAACAAACTGATTGCTGCAAGATCCTATCGGAGTCAACTTTCGCAGCTTCATACAAGTGAGTCAGAGCATTGACGGCGGTCATATTTGGGAATATGGGGTTTATGTGATCTATGTGATGTAGAGAAACCAGTGGCTTTAATGGATGTGCAGCCAACAGACCAAACGCGTCGCCCCGCACATCAAACTGCTTGAATTTGACGTACCCAAATGAAATTAAAAGAAGATTTGTCAGATTTAGAAAATGGGAAAAAAGGAGTGAGAAGAATGGAGGTGAAATTGTGACCTGATGGAAGCCGGGTTCGTGGGTCAAACCGATGCCAAGCTCGGCCAAACAGGAGTGGACTCTGGAGGCACTTCCGTAGAGATGGGGATACCGATGGAGACAGGAATCAAAAACTTTCGCTAGAGCTTTAGCCAGAGGACAACTTAAAGCGAAACCAGCTCCACCAAACGCCATCCCAAATCCAAACTCTCTGTTCTGCTCGGAAGTCTCGGAGTTGGCTCCAACGTAGTACCAAAGCTCGTGATCGTATTTCGAAAGAGTCTTGGCCAAATTCTCCGGGAAGAACACCGTGTCGTCGTCTCCAAACACATACCATCTAACATCATAATGATTCATGTTAACAGTCTCTAACACAACGCGCGCCAGCCGGATGGCCGACGGGTGACCACCTCTGTTCGTATATCGAAAACGGGAGGTATCTTCTGAAACGCAGAGGGGAGGAAGAGAAGCGTTGTCATTGGGAGAGGTGTCAGCGTCATCTTGGAGGCTGTCGACGAACACGCAGCCGCGCATCTGGCGAGGCTTCCACCATAACTTGACATACTCCTTGCGGGAAACCCATGTGTTTTTGTTGGCCCCAATGCCGAAAAAGAGGTGGTGGAGAGTGGTGGGGACGTGGTGAGGTTGAGGAGAAGAGTGATATGGGTTGGAGGTGTTGACTAACAAAAGAGAAATGAAAAGATAGAGAATGCAGACAGAGGACAAGAGGAGGAGGAAGGTGAAGCGGGAGGTAAGAAGCTGCATTTTGAGGTCCATCAATTGTTGGTTGTTTTGGTGACTAAACACAATGTGTTTGTTACTTTTGAGCCGGTTCGTATCCACGAGAATTGTAGGTATTAAGTTTAGAAAATCATGAATATTTTAATCAGAAGATTAAGATAAAATCAAGACAAGATGTAATTAAAATAAGATTAGGGGCTACTTTTTGATACTAAAAATCATGTGCTTTCCTAACAAGACCAAAATCATACTTCCACTACCAAAATTATACTTTACTTTTCACAATTATAAATTAATCTTTAATTTTTTTTTGTGATCTGAATTATTTGCATCATATTTAAAAATTTTAATGTAAACCATCCATCAATTTTAGATAGTCAATTAAAATTCTAACTTTTTTTTTTTTTTTGGTTTAAAGTTATTGCTCAAACTTCAAATCAGTTTTAATTTCTCAGTAGTTTCCCCACTTTCACCCTTCTACATTTTCAAGCACTTAATTTGTCCGTACTTGGATAAGTAAACATGTCCTTCCCCATCTTAAAAACACTCCGTTGAATTAATAATAGGAAGGAAAGTTCAAAGCTACTGGGCTCTCTTGTCTCCTTCCTCAGATTTACCTCCGGATGGTAAGGTAATATTAAGTCACAGTTGCTCCCAATAAAATATCGGCATTTAAGCAATTTGTTCGGCTTTACATCATAATGTTATAAATAAAATGAATTTCAAATGGGAGAAAAAGTAAAAAATTTTACACAAAAGATGTGAATTAAGAAAGAGTAACAAAAATTACCATGGACTGGAAGCTGGGTTGGTAATAATGGATCATGAAGCTGCTAAAGATTACGAGTTTCCTAATCAAATAGACAAAATTAAAATTAATCAACATCAGTGTTCTTTCTTCTCCTTCAGGGTGCAAAGGCACAAACAAACCATAACCGTAAAGAAGATGTAATTTGACAAAAGTGTATCTCAAGAACTAACAACACCATCAACTGAATTTGGGATTCATTAGCTCCCACCTCCCAAGATCCAAATCAGATACAAGTGTTACCTGTCACTTTCAGAATTCCCTTGCTACAACCAATAAACTTCAGCTGGTAAGAGTAGTTTGAAAGGTTTCCATTCATGCAATCACTCAGTTTCACATCAATTCAACAGCATACAAATATCTGCTTGATGCCATAATGTTATAACATACACCACAAGCCCTCTCTAAATGCTCTTTCTCCATCATTCTGCCACATACAAAAGTTGATCAAACCAACCAATCTCAGACGCAAAATTTACTTCAAGCAATATAAGAAATTAAGACAAGACACAGGCATAAGACTAATACTAAGTTCCTGAAACATCCCTCTGTAATTTTTTAAGAAATAAAAGGTTTGAGCATCAAAGACCATTCACAAACATTCAATCAAAGAGCTCACCAAAAGTGAATAAAACTATCGTCTTTAAGGGCTTTTTGCTGGCACAAAAGCTCTCATAGAACAAAAATATTCATTTTACATAACCTAAGATAAGGAAACACAAGCCAAATCCACATGACCACTTACATGTTCTTATCTTGCAACTAACTTCAGTGCATGGCAACATGAAATATCCATACCACAGAATGGAAGGAAGGTACTTCAAGAAAGATTATTGAAATGGATCTCAATGAAGCATAGTATATTTGAAGGGTGTTTATGGAAATTACTTCCTCTTTTCTACCTAAACTAGATGGGGGTTGTTCAGATAGAAAATCATCTCATAACATGTCAAATAACATATATGAGCATGGAAAGTTTCTTCGTCGCATCTCCTGAGTTTCTTTAGCATAATGAAGCAGTTATGTCTCAATCTCTTTTGCAGGGAAGTAAGTACCTACTTCTCCTTGTAAAAGCTGGATATAAACATCAAGAGAAGTGAAGGGAAATTGTTTATTCCAGTTCTTCCTATGAAAAATAATGCTATGCATGCTACTATAAGTTTCCTTTCAGGACCATAACATATGCGTCTACAGAGAATTGAATGCACCAAAAACACACCAATAAAGAACTACCTCAAATCTTGGGTGCAGAACTCCAACAGACATAAAAACTGATTCCAATTCCCGGGGCTCACGGCCAACTGAAAATCTTTCTCAAAGAGGCGTTTCAACAAAATTTCTACTAATGCATTGAGATTCGCTCAACTGGTCCACACTGCCTGATGTGAATGACCATTGATTCATTATACGAAGGTAAAATGTCACAGCAACTACGACGGGGAGCCTTCATCTACAAGAGAGAAGGATAAAACTGGGAAATCAAATTAAATAAAAGGGGTACAAATACGAAAATAAAACATGATTCAGCAGTTATCAACTTCAAATCATGCAAATCCCTGATACCTGTTCAATATCAAACTCTAATTTCTGTGAGAACACTCTGATTTGCTCTAGACTCTTTATGGCTTTTGCTTTAACACAATTCCCAACAACATGCCCGGTGTAGTTGCTCCATGAACTCTTTTTACCTGATTCAACGCTTTCTAGGAAAAATACAACAGGTCTTTGACATGGATCTCTATGATAATCTCTTGTATTAAACATATAGTTATGTTGAACACGTGCCCCCCTCTTCCATGGTGAAAATGTTTTCTGTAGCATCAACAGATTGGGAAGAAGCTCATTGCCTTCAAGTACTTGAATAGCATAACCCCACGCAATTGAGATCGACAATGAATTTAGACTATCATAGCAGACAGTTTGCTGCAAAATCCTAGCAGGATCTACAAGCACAGCGTTAACAAATCTTTCCAATGCTTGAGTCTTGTTCATGTTTGGGAAAATTGGGTCAACAGCATCCAAATGGTGAAGGGATAACAAAGGGGACAATGGATGTGCAGAAAGCATTCCAAACAGATTCCCCCTCATGTCAACCTGGTAAAATCGAACATTATATTGCAACTTTTCTATTAAACTCAAATCATCCCTTGGTAAATTAAGCCATGAAAACTACGGCACCAATCATAAATACAACATATATACTATCTAGCAGATCAGACCAACAAAGGTTCAGTGGATCAGCCCAACATGTGTGTGTGTGTGTGTGTGCGTGATGGGTGTAATTAAATGGGGAAAAGGAAAGCACAGCAAAGGAAATGATTGAAATGGACAAGGTACATTTTCTATAATTAATTGTCTAATTAAGGGTATAAAAAACTTGGAGAAAATGGACGTGGGCAAATATAAATTTACCTGATGGAAACCAGGTTCGTGAGTTAACCCAACACCCAGCTCGGCCAAGCACGAATAAACCCTTAAATCACTCCCGTACAAATGCGAATACCGCATCAAACAAGAATCCAAAACCTCAGCCAAAACCCTCGCGAGAGAAGAGCTGATGGCAAACCCTCCCCCGCCAAACGCCATTGAAAACGAATGTTTCACATTCTGCTCGTAACTCTCCGAATTACTCCCAACATAAAACCACTTCTCGTGGTTGTACTTCGACAACACCCCAACAAGATTGTCCACGAAAAAAACCGTATCATCATCTCCGAAAACGAACCACCGAACATCCGGCTCATTCCGATCCACCGCCTCCTTGACGACGCGCGCCACGCGGATCGCCGACCGGAGGCCTCCGGGAAACGTGTATGGGAACCGAGAAGTGTCGTCGGATACCACCACCTGAGGAAGAGCCGGATCATGTGGGACCGGACGGTCGAGGAAGGCAAGAGCGCGAGTCGAATTGGATTCCCACCAAAACCGAATGTATGGTTTGCGGCGGGGCCAGGACGCGTAGGAGGAAGCAATCACGAACAAGAGGTGGCGGCGGCGCGTGGGAGGGGAAACATCAATTCGCAAAAACAACGTAGAGGGCGCGTGGAGGCGCGGATTGTACAAAAGAAGGAATACAATAACGAGAAAGGAAAGTAGCAAGAGGATATTCTTTGCCCGGGACGGAGTCAGCGTCAGCATCCTCGAGGGCGACGCCATTTTGATAGAAGCGGAAGCAGTTGTTGGAGAGAGAGAAAGAGAAACGTCGGGATCCTTCTTCTTCCTTCTGGTATGATTGTACATTAGAGCCTTTTTCTTTTCTGGGTTAGCAGGAGCGTGCGAGAGAATCAAAATGTAAACAACACTGATGGCACTGACCCTGAACATTGAATTCTTTACTAATTTATTTTTTGGAATGTTTCTGCTGCTTTTCTTTTTTCCTTTTCTTAGGGTGGCGGGTCACCATGAATGGATCATCCTGTGAGCTTTCACAGCCGGTATTATAAGCCCAAATCTTTGTCTTTCCGCTTTAAGTTGTTTTTTTCTGAACTCGATCTGCCTTTGATTACTGGGCTTTATCGTAATTGGAGGTTGATCTCCAGGCCCTGAAGTGAAAACAACTGTCTGATGAGACACGAAACCTGTATTTTCATTTATAAATGGAACACAATTCGTCAAAATTAACGCACTAAACACTCAGAGTAACATTATTTAACAGAGTGAAAGAACTATGATATCAAATACATATCTTTATTAATAGCTGACTAGAGTGCAATTAATTAGCAATAAATATAAACAAAAATTTGTAGAAATATAAAAACTCTATTAAACAAAATCCGGAAAAATGTCGAGGAAAAAACAATCAAGAACTTGGACGTGTTGCATGTAGATTAGATAGAGAAATGGAAGTTTTAGATAAGGTGTCTCCCTTCATATATATTGTCTATACGTAAGTGGAGGAGTGAGCCAACAAATTAAGCATCTTTTTCTTTATTCAAATTAACAATTATTGTTTCTTTTTTCTAAAATTAATTATTTTTTTTGGATCTGACAAAATCAATAATTGGATAAATGATTATGAATGTGGAGTGATAGTTTATATTTAATATTTTAATTAGAAATTTGGTAGTTCATTTAGATAATATCATTTGAATTAATTAATTCAAGAGATTTGTTTGAAATTTCGGTGGTCAATCTCTCTCTTTTTTTAAAAAAAAAAAAAAAAAGCCAAAATATAGGCACCGTGATTATGGTAGTCTCTTTAAATTTATCCAAACTTATCATTAAAGTTAAATAAATATATTAATAAATTAAATAATTTATAATACTTATTTAAATATAATTAATTATACTTAAATAAGTATTATAAATCAACTTCATATACTTATAAAATATAAATTTTTATACTTTTAGACGTACCAATATTGAATTAAACATTATAAATAAATTATCACCATCTCATAACACTCACAAAATAATAAATTTTAAGTTTTCAATAAAATTTAAATTTATATTATATAAATATAATATAAAAATTTTAATTATTATATTGTCAGCGAACATAATAATTTATAAAAATATATATATTTTTTATAAAAAAATATCATTAAAACGAGATAAAATATAATATAAAGAATATTTGTGTAAATTATATTTTGAATTAATAAAAGATAGTAAGCAAATATTAGCTGATTATCATAAAACATACACATGCCAAAACCTAATAACATTATACCGTCCATCAATTATTTTAATATAGAAATTCCATTGGTGTCACAAAATTTGGTCCTAATACATTTTATTTATATATATATATATATATATAAAAAGTTACAAATTGTTTTAATTAATTATTTTAATTTATCGTAACTATTGAAACGAAAAAAAAAAATTAATAACTATGAAATATTAATTTCATTTAAGAGTAGAATAATTTGGCAGAGATCTAATAATTAATAATGTTTAGTTTTTATTTAAAAATGAAATTATATACACATAAGATATGATTTTGATATATAAGTTTTGAAAATTTCATCCACACAGGTGGAGTGAGGAACCAACGCTCACCCAATTTGTGGACACCGCCATACATCCACTCCCGTCCTTCCGCGTAGCCTTCTAAAATCTATTCATCCCAAAAATGGATTTTGCACGCAACGCCAGAAATTCCTTTAACACGTGTGTGTGTGTGTGTATATACATACATACATACATACAGATATTTTACTATAATATTTAAAAATAGGATTTGGTCTCAGTCGGTGCAGTTTCTGTTCTACTATTAAAATAAGAATAATATAATTTGGATAATTAATATTTTAAATACCGCAGTTGATTTATATTTTTAAAATAAAAAATATTTAATTAAACATATTTATATATTAAATAAAAAAGAGAAAGAAGAATTAAATGGGAAAAGAAAGGAAAAAAACAAGTCAAATCAATGGGTGCAGCCTCTGCAAACAAACAAGTGATTGCCCCACGGAGTGCTTTAATTCTACACCATACAACAACCTCTAGTAACTCAAATTGACACGGTAACCACCTCCCCCCCCAAAAAAAAAAAAAAAAAAAAAAAAAATCATGGTTCATAATTTCCCTTCTACCTTAATCAATCTCTTCTTCTTTTTCTATTTATTCAATTACCCCTTCTGCCCTTATCTAATTACTTTGATTAACTCACTAATAATTGATTTTATTAACTTTGTACGCCATACCGGCAACCAACCAATTCTAATTTTATATATCTATACCTATATATATATATATATATGTGTTTTATGTAGACCCACCTCGCCTCTGGTGCTTTATTCAAATCACCCATAAAAAGAATTGAAGATTCTTCCTTGAATCATACATGACCATCATTGTATTTTTCTCTCAACCACACATTTCAACCTTTGTTCCAATTTCATATTTATTTCACTTTAATTTTCTAAAGGGTAAATAGTTTTAATGATTAATTTTTATGTCTCTGACACGAACCCAAATACAGAAATTATCTCATATTCAAGCCACTCATTTTCATGTATCTCTATCTCCATATATGCAAATAATATATTTCAAAAAAAAGATTTAGTAACAAAAATAAGAAACAGCAAGGAATTTGCCATGCAGTGGCATTTATGTCATTTTGCTGAAATTCCAAGGACGAAGATGATCCACACAATCGGCTGCATGTGAAAATTATTTTTATTTTTTATTTTTTATTTTTTATTTTTTATTTAAAAAAAAAAAAAACAAACCGTTCTTATATAAATTGCCGTTCTCTTTCAACTTATATTGGCCTCGTCCATAATAATATTGCATAATATTCAGCTACGCGCTATCTTCTTCCTCCCCATAAAAATGTGCAGAGGTGTCGAACGAGAAGGAAACGACGGCGTTTTTCCGTCACAGCAGAGAGCAGAGATGGTGTCTTGCGAGCTCTGCGGTTCACGTGCCTCCTTGTATTGCCAAGCCGACGATGCTTTCCTCTGTAGAAAATGCGATAAATGGGTGCACCAAGCTAACTTTTTGGCTCTCAGACATGTCCGGTGCTTGCTGTGCTCTTCGTGCCAGAAGCTCACCCAGCGGTATCTCGTCGGAGCTTCGCGCGAGGTGGTCCTACCGACGGTTGTTGGTTGGCCGGAGACGACAAGACAGCCGGGGCAGTGTGATAATATCGAGGTTGATAATGAGGATGATCAGTCGACGACCAAGATATGTTCAAGAACGCTCAAAACGCCTTTTCTTTTTCTTTGATATCTTTACCTCAGCTTCTTCTTCTTCTTCTTCTTTTCTTAGTTTCATGGGTGATTAATCTTGGATCGTGTCTGTGGGTGGCAGACTTTCGTGCTGGATCCATGTGAAAAAATTATATTTAGGGGAATAAAAAATTTGAGAAAATTAACAGTGAGAAGAAGTAGGTAGAAATTAAGGAAGAGTAGTAGTACTGTACTCTGAAGGTTGATATCAAATCATGATCAGTATCATCTTCTTCGCCATATTTCTTGATCTGTAAACCCTGATTAACATGATCTTTTATTTTTTGAGAAAATATTAACTTTACCAAATAATTAGCTTGTCGCAGAACGTTCTTCAAATTCTTGAACTCGCTCAGATAGCTTTTTTTTTTTTTTTTACGTGAACTCACAACTTTATATAAAAGAAGAAGAGGCGTACGAATCACAAAACTAAATAATTTGCCATTTATCAAATCAAAATAATTTATCTTCAGCACAAAAATTTATTATTTTTTTTTCAAATCAAGTTTATTTCGTGTTGCTTTAGTGATCATAAAGTTATACCTTTGGTTTAGTAGTGTGCAGTAAAATGTATTCTAAAAAAATATGCATTTTGCTCCTCCAAATTTTTAATTCAGACCGAATACTTTATAGAAAAAGCTAATAATATATTCTTAAATCATGCACAATTTAATGGTTAATTTGTTAATTTTTATATTTGAGATCATAAATTCAGATATAAATGTGGTTTAATTTAAAAATTATTTATAATATATTATGATTAATATATGTATATTACATAATTGATAATAAATATATGAATTTTTTTTCTTAGAAAGGACCGACTCATGTTCTCATATATATATATATATATATATATATGAATTTACCCTCTATCCCTAGAAGATATGTATATGTTATATTCTTACTAATAAAATGCAGTTAGCTCTAAGAGGTGATCACAATATCTCAGGTTGTGGGCAAGAATGCAGTAGAAAATTGAGTCCAAGTAGTTTGTCAAAACATTTAAAAGGGAGTGGGGACTTGATTCCAACGGGCGGTTCCTACCAGTATCTCATCTCTTGTTTCCTCTTATGGGACCCATTAAAGCAAATAGGTGGAGTTGCGGACTCCTGTCAACCCTCCATTAAAATTGAACCCTATTAATTAGCTGCACTACCAGATCCTTAACGTGGACTTTCAGCAACATACTATTATTATCTGTAAATTTTGAAATCTGACAGGAGATAACTTTCAGAAACAGAGATGTATAAAAGGGAATAGTTCCTTCAATTTCTGAAACAAAGTTCAGATATTTTCATGGAAATATTTTCCCACCTTAAAAGGATTGGTGAAGTGAAGATGCTGAATGTGTTGTGTTTTGTTAATGAGCAAGACAAAACTGAATGCTTGTGCCCTGTAATTTCCCAGAATGTTCTCTATATTTATTTTTTTTGTAAACCATAGATGCATTTACAGGTCTAGCTACCATAGATGTTCTCTAATACACAAGATATCTATGAATAAGTCAACCAAAAAACAAATGGAAATGCTAGCTAGACCTTTATTCTTACAAACAAATTGTTGATTACACAGAAGAGAAACTGAAAGATTATAAATTCATCTAAAGACAAAACCAATTTCATTTGCCACTGGGACTTTTGCCCTTTGGCAAGAAGCACGCAACGGTCCCATGAGAGAAGCAGAATGATAGGTCCCAGTCAGAAACCAAAGTGTGATTGCTAATTATTCTACTTGAGGTGAGAATAAAACCATTGATTTGCTGAATAAATTTTCCTCCCCTTTATTGACTGTGCTGTGTTTGTTTAAACATCCGGAAATCTAACTACTGCTTCCGACTATAAAGAAAGCAGGTGCTAAAAATTAGTAAAGAAAAAGAATTTAAATTAAAAGAAAAATAAGCAGAGATAGGCACGACTGGTATTCTGGCTTCTTCCACGTTCTTCTACTTTCCTCACGTCCTTCATCTGCTTTTCTCACGTTTTTCACCTGCTTGTTCTGCTTCAGCTGCGCGTCTCTGTGATCCACTTCAGACCGCATATCTCGGGTTCCTTCTCGGAACTCTTTGTGATTTTCTTGCTCTAACACAGAAGAAGAGTTCATAGACATTGTCAGACTGCATTGCTTCACCAACTCAATCTGCTACTGGAATTCCTCTATGTTAGCTGGTGTCAAAACAAAAGAAAATGTTACTTGCTAGGAAATTGAGGCATAGTAGTTCTTTTTCAAGTGTGTAAAGGCGAATGGACATTCAAGATCAGGAAATCATGATATTAAAGGTTTGCAAGTGCCATTATCATAAGAATGAATGGAACACAATCATAAGAATGACAGCTGAAGTAGTTCATAATTTGTCGATATACAATTGGGTTCTTCTGGTTTCTGAAACTCAAACAGTTCAAGGCGGTCAACGCTATAGATCTGCCAATATGTTTATGAAACATACTCCGATAATATAGAAGAATAAAACCGAGAAAGCTTGCAGGCTGTTTGAATTCTATTTCCAAAAAATTTAGGTGAGAATGGAGCTTATTCAAATATGAAAATTACAATGCAGTTCCACCTATCAATATTAGCCTGTTAATTGAGCAGGGTAACATTGAAACAAACGCAGATAAATAGTACAAGAGCAAATAGAGAAAGATCAGGTAGACAGAGATAAACCCATGAGATTATGAAGGTTGAATCCAGTATCGATAATCCCACTCTGGATAGGAAAGGATGATTAGCTGTCGATATGTCAACTATCCCCATAATCTTTTGTTGACAAATTTTGGTGAGTGCACTAATTAATTTGAAGTTATTATGATCAAAATTTTGATATACCACTATCTCATATTCAACCCATAATTTTCATTGCCATCAATAAGACTCTGGGTTCTCATCATTTAACAAACGCATTGCATAAAGCAGAGTTCAACAGTAACTACGATACGCAGCTGAACTAACCTAGACAGTAACATGATAGACTTGAGAATAAGAACTAACTGCAATATATACCTTTTTGCTCTATCCTGGCTGGAAGTTCCAGATATAAGGAAATCTAGCTCAGAAATCCCTTGTCACAAGAGGGTCATAATCATATGCTTCACCAGCTTTCACAAATCTACCTTTCACCCGTTTCCTGGTATCTGCTCTGGCTTTACGAGAGGCATATCTTATTTGCTTGCCAAATCTGCACCATGACAATCATCAAAGATCTAGTAGAAGCAGAACTTATCATGTAAACTTCTATGATCAATGTGAAGTATCTTTACTCGAGCTCCATGGATGGATAAGAATGAACATCTCTCAAACAGTCCAACCCAACATATTAAAAAAGTTAAAATGACGGATGTGGATACATGCCAGCATAAAGTACCATCATTCTACATAAGATGAAACAGCTGGTAAGCTTACAATAAAATATGCTCTTGAATTTATTTCAGGAAACGAACACTTAAATCTGGGAAATAGATTCTCGATTGTGTATAAGATGTTTACAGTATAGCATCTGAAAAAAAAAAAAATCTGTTTCTGCCATCTAGTTAATAAGAGTATTATTAGGAAAAGTTCCATGAATCCCAGACGTACTCTTTCAGTAAATTAAGTTATTTACACTTTACATCTTTCTAGATGCAGAGAGAAGTGTAGCACATAAAAATAGAATTTTCATAAACAACCTAGATCCCATTTTGGGGTGACAAAGGGCCTTGTGGTTGAGAACATCAACAAATTGAAGACTCACAAGAATATCATCCTAGGATGTAATTCTCTAAATCTAAATTTGCTATATCTAAATATCTCTCCTAAAATATCAAGAGAACAATCTTAATATAATTTGAACTAACATACATACGTTCGTGTTTTCTTCTTTTCATTGTATCTCATCTTAGCCTTATCTCTTGCTTGTGGGCAGCTAACTTCCAGATTTGATTCCCATGGAGATTCACTATTCAGGAATACTGGAGACAATCCACAATCTTGATAATCAGCAGCACTACTTTCCCCAGTAATGTTGGAGACTGAAATTGATATGCCTGAATGAACTTGTCCGGCAGGAAATCCTAGATTGATGCTTCTGTTGCTACATGGATTCATGACCATGCAACCACTGCTATTCATTGCCTGCATGACGTTAGCTGACCTTCCAACACGAGAGGATTGAAAAGCTGCACAATCTTGTTGTCCTGAAGATGATGCCTGAACAAAGAAAGAAGCAGCAATTAACACTGGCAAAACATGAAAGCAAAACATTAATCAGCTTCAATGCACAAACAGAACTTCACAGGAAATATAAGTCCCATACTTTTGTGCAACTATGTTAATTAACATAATAATGAGAACAAGAACACAAAACTATGAAACGTCTATGAGAAAGCTATGAGAAGCTGGAGTTTAGAGAAAACCTCTAAAGCACTTTCAATATGACCATTAGACTCGGTAACTGATAAGTTTTTCCCATTCAACAGGCAATCTGTCTCTAAGTCCTCAATCTGGTATCTCTTATGACCTTGTTGACAGCCAAATATCTCATCACCAGCTTTAAAGTTTAATTGTACGTCACCCATATTCAGACTTTGACAGAGAGCATCACCATCATGAAGTTTGAGATCCCTGAACTTGGAATAATCCTGCAGAACATTTAATAAAAAAATACATCAATTAAATTTGTGAAATTATTGATTTTAACCAATTATCTAAAATTAAGTTGGTAGAAAAATATTCATCCTATATTATACATGGACATGCTTCCTCTATATATTTTAGTTTGAAAACGTTAATCAAACACAAACGCTCCATAATCTCTTATACAAAGTAGCAAAATTGATTGCTAAAGCTGAAAGGATTTAATCAATATATGACGAAAATTTACAGCAGAAATATACTACTAGACTTCAACCATTCAAGAAACCAGAAGACAACACCTACATGCTTATACACACAATTTGTATGTTACCTTTGTCACATGCAACTCCTCAGGGAGAAAAGCTGGTTGATTCCTGAAGTTGGGAACGTAACGTGGATCCAGAGGAATCATAGAAGAAGAGTCAAGCCAAGAATCAATGTTGGTACAAGACTCAAATTCACTCATCTTTGCTGCCACCAATCCGAACGATCCCTCATTATGATCTCTTTGCTCCAAACAACTACTCATGCAGTTGTCATTCACAGGAAAGTAAGTAAGTGACCCCCAGCCATTGTTATCAAACCCACTTGAGGAAGAAGAAGAAGAATAAAGAACCGAGGCCCAGATCCTTGAAAACTCAGCCAACGAAGGACACCCTGAATAAGAATCCAACGCCTGTAGGGAGTGGCCCAAACTGGAGCAGCCGTTGCCGTTCAAATCACAACTCTGACACACAGACATTTTATCATCCAGGCAGCGGGCAACCGCAGACTGCGAGTTGCACATATCACACAACAAAGACCGAGGGTGTTTACGCGACAAGGAATTTGCAGAGTGTACGCACGAGTCACAATGCAAACAAAGCCTAGCTAAATCTGATCTACAATAAACTACTGCTCTCACTACTCCACAGAAATCACATAGAGGTTCCATGCATGCTTCCTTCATCTAAGTATTAACGTTCAGAGTCCTTTCTCGCAAAATAACGAAACAGAGCATAATCAGATTCATAAAGCTAGCAAAAACAAGTTCACCTTTACACCATTTTCTCAGCTTTCAATCACGAAAAACCACAAAAAAGAGGAAAACGAAAGCGTACAAAAAATCAAAACCGTAGCTAGTGTTATGAAACAGAACTCACCAGCTGAAATATGCCGAATTCCCGCCACTAAACTTATCGACCCAGAATATTCAGCAAATATCGAGGAACCCAGAATCCATTAGTGGAGTCAGAAAAAGAAGGTGAAGTTTTTTTCACGAGACTTGATGAAAAGCAGAGTCAAGAATAGCAGAGTAATGGTAGGGAAAGCAGAGAGAGAGCTTTTTCGCTTTGGCGGATGTCAGTCTCCAAATGAGTTCAGTCAGTTCGGTAGTAGATCTCTGATTATTTTTAATCACGTGTTTCGGAGGAATCATGGGAAATGCCATGTGGCGCAATATGAGCTTTGAAAGTGATTCTTTGCTGTAAGAAATTGATCGGTCAGCCATTTTCTTCGGAGATGACAGCGAGCTTGCTCAAATTTGTGGCTGAGATGGAATTTGTTCGTTACAGGAACTCGGTGTGGCCGCGTCTAAATTCTACGGTCTACTCCACCATAAGAATCTGCACCTCCGTATCTCCAGATCTAGTCCATGCCACGTGGCAGTTTTCTATAGGGTCACCTTTTTTTTTTTGTAAAAAAAATGTTCTGAATAGAAGTAACACCTCATCATCCCTGCGCTTTTCTTATTCTACTTTTTCTTTCGTTGTTTTTTTTTTTTTCTGGGGAAACAAACAAGGGGAGGAGGTTGGTGGTGGAACGCGGCTATCCGCGGAGAAAGTTTTTTACGCATTCTGCGGTAGGATGAAAAATGCGCTGAAGGCGTTTGATGAAATGTGAGAGATTCGTTTTAGATTTCTACTAACGATGAATTTCTTTTATATATCTGCTTGATTGTTTACTGAAGAAAGTTCAAATTACTCGTGCTTATAAAAACTGAGAGAATTTGATATGTTTACTGAAGAAGCAAATTGCATCAACTGAGAAATTTGCAGCAATTTAGAGCCTCCGTTCTTTTTGAAAAGTAAATATACAATTTACAAACCCTGAAGAACCAACGAAAGTTTTTCCATAAGATTTTGCAAGGATTTACGATGGAAATATGAGAAATTGTTGCGGGATATTTAGAATTTTACTTGGTCGAACACTGATTTGTTTTATATGTTTGGGTGGATTCTATTAGTACCGAAGACTTCTAATCATTTTATTACTAGTATTCGCTTGGTTGACAAAATTAGTCATTAGCAAGAACAACCCTGCAAGAAGGCGATAAAGAAAAACAAGAGGAAAAATTAAATCTTAAGAAGAAAGAGAGAAAGAACGAAAGAGAGATGTGTGATTTGAATAGAATAAAAAGGGTTGTTCAGAACTTATTCCATGTAATTTTATTAATATATTAATAAATTAAATATTTAATTAATACACATAATATATTTATAGAATATCAAATTTTAGTGAATTTTGAAATTTTGACCTTAAAATATAATACAAGCTATTTAAACTAATATACCACTAAATCAATAATCTTTATTATATAAACACAAAAACCAAAACCATAGTACATTTTTATTCTTCTATTGCTACTTAATACAATTTCACTAGCATAATTTTCTCTTCAACAGACTAAAGTTGTTCAAATATTTTAAAGTATCCATAAAAAAAAAAAAATGTATTGCTATAATAATATATGAGTGTTACAGTTTGGGAAATTGCATTCCCATATTATGTGATCTATTTTTTTTTTTTCAATTCAAATTATGTGATCTTTTTAACAAGTGATATTTAATTTTCTTCTTGTGTAAAATCAAATATTTTGATAGTATTATTTATAAACGTTTTATGTTCTCTTTGAATAACTAGTAATTTTATTTTTTTATTAAAATAACAAACCGCAAATAATTGAAAATGTAATTTATTTTATAATCTGATTAATCAACTACCACACACGTTATCAAAATTTAAACTGAAGTCAAATACCCTCCTGTGAAATGGTTGACTATTTTTGCTTCAAATATAAGTATTTAATAAAGTCATAATCTATAATTAATGAGGTTAGCAAATTACGCATAGCTTGTCACACATTGGGCTGAGAAAGTTGAGCTTACCGTATCTGTTCGGCCCAACTGAAACCCCTTGCTTTGCTATAAGCATGATCTCTCTCTCTCTCTCTCTCTATATGTATATATATTAAATAAAATAATAGCAAAAACCATATAAATAATTAAAATATTAAAAAAAATAATTTTTTTTAATGGCAGTCACAGATTGAGTTGGTCTAATATTAAACTCAATATAAATATATTTTAATGTTTTCAATATTTTATATGAATTATATATATATATTTTATATAATTAAAATATTATTCATGAAAATTAATATGAGTGTTAATCAATTTAATTAAAAAAATTAAAAATTACAAGAGTTATTGTAGTTTGGCAACTGATGCATCAAATGCTTGCACATTAAAGAAATTACTTAAATTGCTTCTCTTTCTAACTTGACATTTTTCATTTTCACCGTTTTAAAGAAAAACACGTTTAGGAAAGGAACCCAAACGCGCCTTTAATTAGCCATTTCCTTAGATCCTGAACCTGAAACCAAACCCATATAAAGCTTCCAATTTTGCAAACAAACTGCCTTTTTGCTTATTCTCTCTCATCTTACCTTCATCCTCACTCAAACCTGCTCAATTTGGGTGGTGAGATCCCTAGCTAGGTCCGCATTTCAATCAAGCACAGAGTTCGAAGCCATTCCGACTGATTTTCTCTGTAAGTACCTCCTGATCTGATCTGAATTCGATAAATTTCATTAGCGTGTAATTTTTTTTTTTTTTACTGGTTGTTCAAAGAATTTGCTGAAAATTATATTGGTCGATGTTTTTACACTGAAGAAAGTGGTTTTTAGGATTTTTCAATTGTTTTGGAACTGGGTAATGATGCCCAACTTTGGGGTTTCTTAATAAAATTTGACGCAAATTCCGATGTTGGGCACTTCGGATTTGTCTTATGCAGATCATCATTGTAGAAATTTAGAAGCGAATAAGGTTTCGTTCCTATTTTGGGAAGTTACGTTCATGGCTGCGGTGCATGTAGGGTTGTATCTTGTATGATTCTGGTTCCTCTACAACTTTTGGCCGATTGCAACTCTAGTAATTGTTGTCCTCTCGAGCTTCAGTTTCGTGAATATCTGAAATAATCTTTTATTATAATTTCTCATGACTGGTTATGTTATTTGGTATAAAGTTGGAAATGCATGCAGCTATAGTGATTTTGAAGTTGAAATCTATATGGTTAGAAGAAATAAATTATCCTAATTATCTTTTGAACACGATCTGGTTGTTCCCAGTTGTTAGTTATGAAACTCCTGGGATTCAGATTTGCTTCGATCATTGCATTTTAAATTGGCCTTTTGCAGATTATTGAAGCTAAGTGTGGCTTACGATACCATAAATTTTCTGTTTACATCTATGTTTGGGGGACTATTATCAACTCCGACTAATAGTCCCCATTTGAGGAAGTCCGGAAGCAAGCCTGTTGTCTCTGATCTCGGTACGAAATAATAAGTCTTTGTGATAAGAGCAGTTGAATAGTACCTTATACCTTCTCAATTTCCTTTTATGTGATGGTTTATGGGTACAACTAATAGCCCTGGAATCTTTGTCAGGTGACGAGTTTGGAGATGCTGTTGAGGATGGTCTCTTGCATTCAGCGGAGGCAAATGATTTGAAGAGTACAAGTATGCCAATGGTTACCATTGCAAAAATGCCTTCTCCAATATTGTTATGGAGATTCAAGGTTTGGTATCATTGTTCTCCTGATTTTTTTCCCCAATTACTATTTTTACACATCACTTTTACGCTCGAAGCACTATTATGATGATATATTGACTTTTGCCCAGAACATTCTTTTTTTTTTTTTTTTCATTTTTGAATTTTTTTAGTGTTCCAAGCTCCTAAATTAAGCTCATGTTCAGGTATTGCTGTTCTTAATCTGGTCTTTCACTTGCTGTAAGGTTAGTTTTACGTAATTCATTTCTACAAACAATAGCTGTCAGATTGAATGATGATTATTCTTAAACAGCTATAGGATCCACTACTTATTTATTGGTTCTTACTAGTTGTATTTGAAAATTGCAGTTTGGATGGGATTCTGTAATGAGAATGAGTGTGGACTTGCGGGACCTTTTCTTATACGAGGCATTTCTTTATTATAATCCTCTTCTTCTTGTGGTTAGTGGAGGTTTTCCTAGAGAAACTGAACTGCTTTTAAAAATACTACATTCCCCTTATATAAATTTGCTTTCTTAATGGGTTTATACTGCAGACAATGATGGTTTGGCTGTGGGGGGTTAATTTGTGGGTTTTTTCCCAGTCCACCGTCAATTATGCAAAAATTTTTGATCTGGACCAAAATCATCTTACTCACAGAGAGATATGGAAGGTAAAATACATATATGTTAATGCTTTAAAGTTCTTTGTAATATGCTAGTACAGTTATCTGCTGGTTAAGGTTTACAAGCATGTTATACCTGCTCACTTATTGTTTTTTGGTGTTCTGTACTATTATACATATTGAGCTTTCATTCTCTTGTTTACACTCCCATCTGACACTTTCTGGTGCCAGTTTCCCGCTTTAAGACATACTCATTATACAGAAGCTTGGTGTTTGGGTGAAGCTTTCTAAGGAGGAAATATCTATTCACACTTGCATTTTGATTCATAAATTAGTTGTGTGTGACATCTTGCCTTTTGCTAATCAAGCATTTTATTTCTCCCCCATCTATCTGTGAGGAATTATTCTCTTGAAAGTGCAGAAGTATAGAAATAAGATCACATGAACAAAGTTTCATGCGCTTCTGCTTTCAAGAATGACTCATTGTATCATTTATTGGAAACTGTTGAAAGAAAGAAGAAAAGTTTATGCAAGGAGCAACAGGAAGAACTTAGCTGTTTTTGCTTGTCATCCACTGGAATGGATCTATAAGTGGCATGGAAATGTTTTAGTCTTGGAAGCATTACATCAATCCTTCACTGTTGCTAGCACTTAAGAAGACTTCTGAGCTAGAACTAGCATTGTTTCATCTGCTTTTATAATGTGTCAGAATTCTCTCTCTTTCTCTCTCTCTCCCCTTCTTTGCTCCAAGTCACTGTTGTATTTACATAACAGGACATGCATTCAACTTTTC